GGGGGCTGCCCAGCACAGTCTATCAATCATATCCGAAGGAATACTTGTGACGGTTGCAACTACGACATTTCCGCCCACAATGCTGCTCGAAAGAAGGCAGCAGAAGAGACGAAAAAAGTGAAGATTCCGGCGCTCCCTGTCGTTCTGAAAGCAGCAAGCCGGGAGGTTGCGAAACTGCACAAGCTCGGCTGCTCAGTCTCGCTTATGGTGCAAACGCCTAGAACAAGAAAGCAGGCAACCCAGTGGTACTTTGACTCTGCCAGCACCAAGGGGAAAGCATCCTTGGACAAACACAAAGGGTATTTCAGGAAGGCAATGAAAAACGAGGTCGAGGGGGAAGTCAAGGTGGAAGAAGGTGCTAAGTCGAGTGAAAAGGTCGTCGACGCGTCGGAGCAAAAGACTGTCAAGCCCACGGGTGCCGGGTCGGCCAACTTATTTATGCTACCTGCAAATCTTGAGGATCTCGTGAAGGGGTTTGGTGACCTCTACCCGGAGACTGTGATTGACACAATGCTAACGGCTTTGAAGAAGCATTACATAGATTCGAAGACCGCAAAAGCGTCAGTGGACATAAGTGCATTGCAGAGCATCTTTGGCAAAGATTTGCTTGGCCCTTCCCTCCGCTTCTTGAGTAGTGTCAAAGAGTTGTAAGTGACATCTCTATCGACGTGGGCCAGTACTGCTCAAAAATGTTGAATCGAACCGTCTACCTCTGGGGTTGGCAGTCTCAGTCTGACAACCTGTGTATAAGACGGATTTGCAGGTCAGGATAAGCGAAGCACGTTAATTAGCTTCTGCCGAGCTAGCAGTACATGTCACCGAATAACGCTTCATATACTGTTGTCAACATGCAATTCACAATGGAATGGCTAGTTGATCATTTAAAAGGACGCCATCACGTGGGCCTCTTTGAGCGCTTGATATATAATCTCGCAATTTGAGTACCGCAATGAGGCTATGGCAGTGACACTGATTCGTTGGCACTGACCTGAGGCATCTGAGTCTTAGTACGTACATGCGAACAATTGATCACGGGGTCACACCGTTCAATTGCATCATTGCGCCGAGATTGGAAAATCCTCGATTTCATGCACTGTCACTGTTCTTCCACTTAGGTTACTTAGTGGTCTGTTTCGGCCTGCAGGCAACACTTAATTTGACAATTCAATTGGACTATAAGCATGGACGACCTTCGATCACATGCAACAAATATTGGTACACTAGATGTCAAATGCATGCGAATCCTCATGGACTACTGTAAGCTGCAGCGTCCGCGACTCACGGTTGCAATATCATACATCTGTCACTGTCATTCACTTGAAGGTGGGTAATACTATTTGCAACATATACGCAGAAAATACGTACGGTAGTACCGTACAACTAGGACACAAATTGTAAGGCAAATATTGACATTCATTTCAGCATCCGAGATTCCATGACGGGCAATTGTTTAGATTCAAGCGGACTCGGACCATAATAGTACGTAATATTGGTACGTGCTTGCAACTTATGAGGGAAGTTAGTAGGAGGTTCCTACGGTCTCATGCTAGCACAAATATGGTATATTAAATGGTGAATATAGAACACTTTTCCCCAAATTGACTTGAATGTGAAAGCAAGCCAACTCGTTGATATGCGTTGAGCGCGCGACATACGTATACCCAACTCATGCCCACTCTCATATGTGCCAGTGCAAATCGTGCGGCCTCGTCCGATGGAGTACTCGAAATACACATACAATCCCAGACTCATAATCGGTTGCCCGATACATATGGCCAAACTTCTAAGCTCAAAATAATTCCCAAATTTTGGCGACCACGAAATTACTGTCACTTGGTAGCGAAAGTTGACAATTCAGTATGTTGCACCGCTTGCCGGCTTATAGTACGACGAGATCAACGGCAACATTTGGAAGACGAGTCTAGCCAAAGATTATGAAGTCTTCACACAATCGTTTGCACGATTGGAACAACCGATAGAAATGTCGCGGGAGACGATCAAAGCAAAGTTTTGAGAAGCATCGGGCAACAGCAATTCCTCAAGCTCCACCACTTACGGTTTTCAGAAGGTCCTCAATTTCCTGCTCCGAGAAATAACCTACGGTTCTAAGTACATCTCGAGAGAGGTCGGGGAGTTGCTCAACGCTCAAAGCGCACCTGAACAACCGATGCAGAAACGACGAGAGACCCAAGCCCACCAAACGATCCGACAAAGCCCGAAAACGGGCCAGTTCTGACACTTCCAGCCGTTCGTGCGCTTGAGCAAACTCTTCCTCAAGTCGAATCCCGGAGGTCGGGTCCGGAGATTCAGGCACAGTGCACCCCGCCGTTTGAGTCTCTAGAGGGGCGAACGGGAATGTCGCCTTCGCCTCCCCAAGCCGAGCGACCGCTGCTGTTCTAGCTTTGGAGAGAAGGGCCCTACAACCACTCCTCACGACCCTATCGTTTCTAAGACGGTCTTGAGAAACCCAGTATCTTGGGAGCTGATTCTCTTGCCTGTCGGACTCTCCCTCAGGACCGATGTTGTCTTCCAACGAGTGACCGTCGAGCCTGTTTAGAGCCTCTATTCTGCTGCTAAGGTCGCTTACTATATCGGAGTAATAAGCTAAGACACTTCTTTGCTCAGCCGCTAAAAGGCGTGTCTCTTCTCGTAGGCGTTGTAAGTAGTTGAATGCTTCGACGACTTCCACCTTCCGCTTGAAGGCGACTGTCTTCTGCCTTCGGGCTCCCACAACAAGCAACTCCTCCGGCCGGCCCTCAAACTGCCAAGGCAGCTGCGCACCAGCTAACAGGTCCGACGCGCTCGCCGGGTCTCGATGCTTCCTTGGGTCCCCTTTCTGGATGACTACATTGTACCGACTGACGGCTGCTTCAACCTGCTTCTTGACCTCGCCCTCTTTCTTCCGCATCGACGCGCGCATCTTCGCCGAATCGGCTTCGCTCGCTATCCTTAACTTCGACTTTTCCAGACTGTGCAGGAGAGCTTCGATCTCGACTTGCAGTCCTGAGATGGTGTCCTCAGCCAACTCAGTCCTACTTGCTTCGAGCACTCTTTGTCTCGCTTCTTCAGAAACCCCGGGCTCCGCCTCCTGACCGAAAAGTTCTCGCTCTAGTTCTTTTACTTTCTTCTCTTTTACGTGCAAGTCTCTTGTCACCTCCGCGGTGAGCGAACGGACCTGCTGCACGGCGTCAGAACAGAGCAGGTTGTCCTCGAACGACTCCGACTGCCGGAATGCTTCAAGTTCGCGCGCGGCCTCGACCTCGGTCACTAAGGTGAAATACTTTACAGCCGCGCTCGGAGCTCGCGATGACCGGTTGAGTTGCTCCCTTGCAACCTGTTGCACCTCGCTTTTCCAGTCTCGAAACTTCTGGAGGGGGATTTGGGAGGCCGACATCTCGAGCATCTCTTGACAGAGTCGCTCCAACTCTTGCGCAGCTTCGACTGTCCGTGTTTCGTTCTGGTCCATCCTGCATGAAGGAGGAGCGGATATTCGATTCAGCAAGAGATCAAGCAGGGATTCGCTTTAAAAATATGCTCAGAATGCATTGCTTGAGTGTCGATCGCTCGAAGCAGGGTGGTCCGTAAACTACTCCGTATTGTCCTCCCCAAGAGTCTTGTTATAACCTGACGCGCTGATCACAGGCTTGCTGACGACCTGACGTGCCAGAACGCCATAAGATGAACCTGATCCAGATTGCATACATTAAAGCAAGCGTAACTTGATTCGAAGAGAAAGCAGAGAAATGAATCAAAAGCTTCGCAACTCTTTGAAGGGAGTTGCAGAGGAGAGACGCTCTATATACTGCCTTGCCTACTTGCGGTTTCTACGGATTCAAAACCGAATGATGCAAGGCGGCGTGGTCGAAGTAGCGAATGCGAAGCGAACCTTCTAGCCAACGACTGTGCCATCCTGGCCCGCTTGTCCTCGTTCCAGTACAGGGTGGCCTTGGTGATGCGCTCCGCCCTCCCTGAAAGTCACATTGAAGAGTCGGTTCGTGAAAGAATGTTACAGTCAACTGGGAGATCGAAGAAGACACCGTCTAACGAAGATTGAAGGGGCCTGCACTCCGGTCCAGATTGTTGTGTCCTGAAAGCCATGCTGCCAGGTCGAGAGGGCCCGCTCTGGTGGTCCGACAAGAATGAAGCTGGTGTGAACAACTGCTCGAGCAACACGACAAAGAAAGTGTCCACAGCGGACAGATTTGGAAGGAAAATTCTTCGCATGCCGAACAAATATTACGCTTTCAAAAGCTGCATGCGACTCTCATGCTGGACCCATATTCTTGGTCACAAGCCCGAACCTTGACATGTAGGAGAAGTACATCTCCATGTCCTCCCCGGATCCTGCTCCGGCCCCATCCTGCCACCGGCCTCCAAAGACGGCCTGCCAACATGGAAGACATACGATGAAGGTTCCTTAGAACATTGACTGCCGTGCGTGTAAGCTCAAAGCCAGATGCAATCGGAAGCTGTTTCGAGAATTCGTGGTGACGGCATGCACTCGCAAAATCAGCAATGAGACTGGACAATTCGGGGAGGTTCGTCAAAGAACTTTGCCCCCACGAGCAACCCGTAGATGATGCAATTTCTCAAACATCGTTCAAAAACCGCATGTTTCGACCTCGTTCTGGAGAAACTCGTCAAAGTAAAGCCACGCACTTGCTTGAAGCTCGATACAGGATATCAATCCAGCCTACCGATGATTCAGACGCCTCAGTCTAGATAAACCCCATCGAAAGGAGAGTACCTCAGGCTTGTGATCACAGTCCGGCTAGTTTTGAAAGCAAAGTCTTCTTAAATAATGATACCTGAGACTGAAGAAACACAATAGGAACTCAGAATCATGGCAGATGATTCAACGGCAACGAGATGAGCTTGCGGGGCCCTGACCAAAACACACTAGGTTGCGCTCCCTTTCATGGTCGAGCTGACATGGTAGCTTTTGCAACGGGAACCTGAGTTGAAATGCCGGCATACCTAGCACTGCCAGGAATGAAGCTTTCCGTGCATGATGTTGAGTGCGGGCTTGGTGCTGCCGCTCTCCGACCCTTCCCCCATCTGGTCCAGCGCCTTCTCGCGCCACGGCCAGTACTTGCACACGATGTCCTGCCAAAAGAAGCGTGGGTGCCGCCCCTGGATGAAGTGGCGGTCCAGGAAGTATGTGTAGCCGAAGCGCTCCCCGGTGCGGACAAGGTTAACCGCCTTCATGCCTACCTGATGGCGGCAACCACAAAACACCGCCCCCGTCTCAGCCTGGCCCCGGATGGCGCTCCGCGTGTCTCGGGCTGCTTTCCACTCCCCCGTCCCGCACTGCACGTCTGGCCGCCGAACCCCAAGCTGCAAATCGAGCGCTTCTAGAGTACGCAGGACGCCTTCGTCTTC